GCGACCCCATTCCCTGGTCTGCATTCCCTCATCTGCAAAATGAGCAGGTGTAGAAGATTTCCAGAAGGCTTCCCAGCTCTAGAATTCTGTGTTCTATGATTTTCTGGGTTATTTAGAAGCAGTGTGGAAATCACCCTTGGCCAACTGAATTCTATTTTGAACAGCCTACTTGAAGGGGTCTCATGGTAAATGCTGTTGCAAATACGAACAGGCTCCTTGTACCGTATCCTCTGTGGAGATTCTCTTGAAGGTCATGAGGCTTGTGTGGCCCAGAGTCACAACCTCCTTGATCTTCTAACATCCCCACCACGGGCACAGGACCCATAAGGAGAGACCCCGAGCAACTTCACCTGTGTTCCTGGGAGTGGGACGTGACAGGAAACGCTGCCAACTGAGCTCCCTGGCCTGCATCATACCCTCAGATGCAAACAGGAAGTGAGCCCAGAGCTGAGGAAAGAGCTCCTTGGCCTCTAGGAGTGAGGAAGTCTCCAGGCGGCCTGGGGCTGGGGCTCAGGCTCGGGCACATGGGCAGCGGATGGACAGAAGAGGGCCACTGTCCTTCTCCAATATGCAGCTTCCATTCAGCAACCTTGCAGAGGGCTCCTGGGGCCTCGGCACGGATGATGTGAAGAAGCTCTTACCAGAGTAGAACCATCTTAGTCCTGACCCCTGTCCCAAGAAGTGCAGTGAGCTGTCCAGAGGGTTCCTCCCACTTTCCTGAGGAGTGGGGGCCCTTGAGCTAAGTGCCAAGCTGTCCTCACAGCAGCCACTGGTCCGGTCCGGGACCCCAAGCCCAGAAGCCCCGACCCTCAACAGTTGTCCCTGCCAGTTCTGGCCGCTGCAGAAACAGCCCACTGGCCAGCATCACTGCCCAGGATGTGAGCTGGTCTCGGGGTCCCCTTTCCGAAAGCCTGAAACCAGGGCCTGGGCAGTTCCCCTCAGGTGAAAGGTGCAGATAAAATGTCGAGCCACTGCTCAGTGCCCATGGCTGCAGGAGGCCCTGGAGGTAGAGACTGTGGCTGCCCCTGCCCTAGAGAGGCCCCTGCATGGCTGGAAGAGACACCCAAACATCATCTGCTTCCATCTAGAAACCAGGGAAGGCTTCTCAGCAAAGATGATACCTGAGGACAAACAGGATTAAATTATCTGGTCTGCCCTGCTAAGAGGAATTCCAACCAGGTAGGGGCCCCTTCCTCTCTCAGCTTCCAGAGGACAGAGGTCTCAAACCCCACCCAGCAGGAGCCCCTCCTCTCCCTTCAAGCCTGGATGCCTCAGGAAAAGGCAGATGTGGTGCAGCCTCCGTGCCTATGTGCCTATCCCCACTCCCGTGCCCTGGTGACTGCCAGAGGACACCCCCTCCAACAAGTGCCAAGCCCCCCTCCTCTCCCCCTCCTGGGGCAGCCAACACCCTAAAGCTCTGGCCAAGCTGCCACTTGGGAGCTTTGTGAGCCCCTACCCCTCGTCTTCTCCCACCAGCTGAGACCAGTCTGCTCCTAACCCCCCATGGCCTGCTCACTCTTGCCTCAGAGCCATGCCCAAGCAGCACCATGCTAGGAATACTCACCATCCCCTGACCTCATCCCATGGAACTTCCTCACTGGGCTCTGAAAGCTCACCTCCTCCCCAAAGCCTTCCCACAGCTCAACCCATCTCAAGTACCCGCATCATGACCCCCAGCGTGTGTCTCCCCTCCACTCTGCAATTCATCCTGCCCCAGCCAGCCTATGAAATGGTCTCACCACCCCACACTGACCCTTTTTTTTTTTAAAGATTTATTTATTTACTTGAGAGAGAGCACACAGCAGGGAGGGGGCAGAGGGAAGGGGAGAGAGGATCCCAAGCACGTTCCCCACTGAGCACAGAGCCCAACATGGGGCTCAGATCATGATCTGAGCCCAAACCAAGAGCTGGACGCTCAACCGACTGAGCCACACAGGCACCCCCACACTGACCCTTTTCATCTTAAAATCCCCACCTCCTTCTGGAAGCTTTGCCTAGGTCACCGCTCCCCACATCTCAGCACTTCTCTTGCTCAAGCCTCCTCTACCCCCACATCGTGGCTCAAAAGCTTCAGCCTTTGCTACCACATACCAACTGCTACCCACAAACATGAGCAGAGTCCTGCCGCTCAGTGGCCTTAGACCTGTCAAGTTCTCAATACACATGCTTTATTCATCATCACAGCTAGGACTGATGGAGCTCTGACCATGAGTCTGGCACACTGTCGAGCTCATTCCGTCTGTTCTCTCTCATCTTCAGAGCAACGTACAAGGTAGCTTTGTCATTATTTTATGGACAAAGAAACCGAGGCTCAAGAGGTTCGCTATTTTGTCTACAGTCTCGCGGGTCTGCCTGACCCAAAGTCTGAGGTGTTTTCCACCACACCGAGCCACCTTTCCCTTCCCGGGATTCACCTATGGAATGACTCGATCAGACTGATGTTCCAAGTCAGCCTGTCCTTTCCGCAGCTAACGGGGCAGAAAAGCCCAGAAATGTTACATAACGAGAAACTAGAGATGCCCTCTTCTCTTTTATTCTGTCTTATAGATAAGGAAACTGAGCTCAGAGGTACAACTTGCCATGTGGCTCAACCAAATGAATATCAACCGAAAGTACTGAAAGGAGATCTGTCTAATGGACTGTCGGGCCCCTGGGCTTAACGCTGTTTATGCTTTCCGCGGTGTGATCCGCCTGTACTAAAAGGTAAGCTCCGTAGGGGACCTGGGTGGGGTAATTCCTTTGTTAAGGAGACTCGCACTATAACCCCTTATGGTTTAGAACTGAATCACAGGATTCAGTTGGGGGGGTTACCCCACCCTTGATGATGGCAGCCCAGGTGGCCACACCTTCAGAAGGGCAGAGAGATAGGGTAGTCCCTACTGACTCCCTCTAGGAAGGTATTGTTTTTTTTTTTAAAGATTTTATTTATTTATTTGAGAGAGAGAGAATGAGAGATAGAGAGCACGAGAGGGAAGAGGGTCAGAGGGAGAAGCAGACTCCCTGCTGAGCAGGGAGCCCGATGTGGGACTCGATCCCGGGACTCCAGGATCATGACCTGAGATGAAGGCAGTCGCTTAACCAACTGAGCCACCCAGGTGCCCCTCTAGGAAGGTATTAAATCAGCACAGCCACTGAGCAGCACGCCTGTACCCCTCCAGCCTTTTCTGCCTCAAGGTATACAAATAATAATAAGGAGACTCCCTGTGCTTTACACATTTCCAAACACTTACTTTTATCCCCTTATTATATATCACAATAGCGTTTTAGGGATTGGGCACTGGGGGCTTGCAAAGGCCAAGAGACTTGCTGGTGGAGATGGGAGTGCGGGGCTGGTCATTGTTGTTCATTTGTTTCCCTTGTATCAAGCTCCTTCCACATGCCATGCCCCGTGCTGGGCTTGAGGAGGGCTTCCTGGAAGAGGCATGGTTTCTGGGCAGTGCCCAGATGCTAGGGAAGGCAGTCCCAGCCTTGAAGCCAGCAGTGAGTTGGGCTTGGAGCTTTTCCCATGGTTGGCTCCGGAGCATCTCTTAGTGCAGAACAGCCCCCGGCCTCTCCTCAAAGCTCAGTCTTTTTAGGCTCTGGCACCCGGGGAACTAGCCTATCCTTCCCGACACAGCCCATCTCCCTTCTGGGTGGTGCTAAGAGGCTCTCTCCAAAAAGGTGCGTGTCAAGGCCCTCGCTGAAGTCTGGCTGCTCTGAGAGCAGGGTTGAGAAATGGCCACACTCCAGCATCTTCTCAGCCCTGCAGGTCGTGCAAATGCGAGGTGACTGTCATCCTCAGAGCTGTTCAGACCACTCTTCACACCACAACATACCCTTTGGGAGCACACACCTTTGCCCGCTGCCAAGTGCCTTTCCTTTTAGGCCGAGCTGGTGGAGTGTCAGGGCCGCCCATGGCGGGATGCTCACACCTGCTTGCCCTCAGAGAACCAGCCCCTTCCCACCCAAGGTTCCATGAGGTGCAGAGAAGAGTCTGTGCTGCCCCTAAGAGTTCAGCCCCAAATGCCAGGGCCTGCCAGCAGCAGGGTCCTTTCCCTCTCTGAGCTGTCACCAAAGTCCTCCTGGCCCCAGGGGAGGAGCACCCCCTCCACTCTTTCTCCTGGCGGACATGTGCTCAGGCGGGCCACAAAGAAAACGCCTCTCTTTCCTGGGGCTGACCCTCCAGCAGTTCTCAGGGGCTTTGGGACACCTGCTTGGCTGAGTTTGCGGCCACCCCCTTGTCCCCCTAAAAGGGTAACATTTCACCTTCAGAAAAAATATGGGGGTTGTTTCTAAGGTGCACCCAAGCTTGTTTCATGAGGCAGGTTCCTGTTTATATGGGGGGGGGTGTTTCACCTTCCTGGCCATGTGCGAGTAAAGAAGTATATTAGTAGTATAGAAGCCAGGGATCCAAAACAGCCAGGTGACTCTGAGCTTGTGGAAGGTCCACTTACTCCCCTTTTACCTGCCCCAGCACAGGCTCAGGTGAGCCCAACGGCACACACTGCTTGGAAAAAACCTCTCTGCCAACGCGGAACACATCACCCGCGTGAGCCGTTACCAGAGGCTTGTCACCTGCTTCAGCGACTTCCCCATGAGCTTCCAGCCTGCCGTTTTGCTGGAATCAACGACTACACGATACCGTTTCTCATCCCCTCCGACACCGAGAAAAAGAGCGCTCAGACTTGGGGGATCCCGCAAAAGCGTGGGGCCTCGCGGTGCCCCAACTCCCCGCTCGCTTTGCCCGCAAACCCATTCATGGCCGGCGCGCCACTGTTTGCCCCACCACAATCCACCTCCCACTCCATCGGGATGGAGACCTGGGACTATCCGCGCGCGGGCCCGGCACCTGCAGTGTTCTCGGGTTTGTAAGGGGAGTGGATGGTTCAAGGTCAGGGCTCCGCGTGTGGCCCCAGCGAGAGGCGCGCGCGGGGGCTGCTCGGGGTCCCGCCACGAGGTGCGGCCCGCCCGGGGCCGCACGGGCACGGCGGGGTCGCAGCGGAGCCCGGGCCACCACTCACCTTCCTGGGAGAATGAGCGCGGCGGCAGCAGCAGCAGCAGCAGCAGCGCCGAGAGCGCCAGCGCGGAGCGCATCGTGTCCTGGCCTCGGGCCGAGAGCAGGTGGCTGCGGGTCCGAGCGTCTGAACGGCGAGAGCGTGGGCGCCGCTCACGGAGGCCTGACTGTGGCTCCGGCGGCCGGGCAGTGACCCGGGGTTCCCGAGTCGCGCTCCAGCGGCCCCTCCTCGCGGCCGCTGCGGCAGAGCTGGGCTGAGGCGCGGCGCCAGGCGGCGGAGGAGCGGCGGGTGGCTGCGTCGCGGGCGGTGTCTGCGCGGCTGGGCCCGGCCGGCGGCTGCGGCGACTCCCGTCCCGTCCGCGCCGGCCCCCGCCCCCTCCTCCTCCCCCAGGAGCGCGCGGGCGTCTGCAGAGGGGCCGGGCGGGGCGGGGCGGGGCGGGGCGGGCGCTGGGCCGGGAACAATGAGCAGAGGAGGAAACTCCGCCCTGGACCGCGGCGGGCGGGGGAACGCGGGCAGCCCGCGGGCTCCGGGCGAGCGGCCCCCGGGCGGGCGGGGTGGTGAGTGTGTGTGCGCGCGCGGGGCGGCCGGGGGGCTCCCGGCGCCGGACCGCTCCCCCGCCCGCGGGTCAGCCCGCCCCGGCTCACAGGTGTCGCCCGCAGTGCTTCTGTGGGGATCCGGAGGGACCCCCGACACCGCCAGGGCCCTCGCACGCCCAAATCCGGAGCGAGGCGACCCCCCCAGCCTTGTGTGTTCGCTAAGGATCTTTCCAGGCCTCCGGGCTGCGGCGCGTTGTGCTGCAACTCCAGAGAAGCACGTCTCCCGGCTGCCAGGTGCAACTCACCTGCGGGCGAGCCCGCCTTCCGCACCACTTGCGAGCAGGTCTGCGCTGCAGAGTGTGCACTGGGCAATCTGGACTCATTCGTTGCTTCATCTTTCCAAGCCTAGGTTCCTCACCTGTCAAATGGAGGTGATGGTTTAAAAAAAAAAAAAAAAGGACTTTTTGAGGGATGAATATGTGCCTGTCTGTGTTCTCAGGGCTTTACCAATATTATTTCATCTACTCTTCACAACAGCTATATTTTTAGCCTCATTTTGCAGACAGGGAATTGAGTCAAAAAGAGGTTAAGAAATTCGCTCAAGACCAAGTAACTGGTAAGTGGCATACCTGCCTCTGAGAGTAGTTTGGGGAAATACTTTGCACACAGTGCCTGGCAAATACTAATGCTCAATAAGTATCAGCTACTATTCTTATTCTTGCTGTACAAAGAACAACAATAAAGATTTAGGGCTCTGGGGTCAAACCCGATTTGGGTTCCAAATCCAGCTGTGCCCACCTAATTAGTAAAGACCCTGGGCAAGTTGCTCTTGGTACTCGATTTTTGCATCTGTAATATAGGGACCACACCACTGACCTCCGAGGCTTGCTATGAGATTTTAACTAAGGCACTACGGGACGAGCACTTAGCCCAGGACCAGAACACAGAATGAAGGGGCCAGCACTTGATGAGATGGTGAGAGAAATCTGCCTGCTTGGGATGGGGGTGGGAGTTGAATTCCATAAACCGAGTTAACCCAGTGAAAGAACAAAGAAGAATCCCCTCCTTTTTTGTTGTTGTTTTATGTTGTTTTGTTTTTGCAAAAGCTGTCGGTGGGGGTGTGGGGAGGAAAATGAAGTTTCCGGAGCCCCCTGGCGCCTGGGCAGGGGAAGTGGGATGAAGCGGACCTAGAAGGGGAGGGGTAGATTAACCCTGGACGCTGCGGGATTGGGGGGCGGGGGGAAGAAGCCTGGATCTGGCTCACGAGACTCCTGGGCTGATCGTCTGGAGTGTCTTTCAGGTGGGTCTGGGAGAGAAGGAGGGTGCCCTGGCCCTAGCCCGGTTACAGGGACCTTGGACTCCTTGAGCCCCTCATGTCGGCTGCACGCAGGCGCTGCGGGACTGGCACGGAGTCTCTGGGGCAGCGAAGGAAGCGCTGGAGCCCTAGCTGGGGTTCCGCTGGAGCTGGGCTCAACCTTGGGAACGGCTGACCATGCTGTTTTCATCGGGAAGTTTCTGCAGGATCGTTCTGACCCTGTTTTCCATGCCGCATATGGGAAAGACAGAGGGTGTTCCCTGTAAATACCGTGGGATGTGTGACTATCGTTGATGTATTTTAGTACTGTTCCCCTAATATCCATGTCAACAAAAGCTTGTTTCTCTGTCTGGAACCAAGCAGTACAATTAAAAAACTGGGAATTAAAAAATTTACATTATATGCTCTCTGATTTAAAACAGTACTTTGCACTCAGTGGATCAATTTCTCTGGAAACCTGGAAAGGAACATGTTAGTTTTGTAAAAGGAGAATGTGTATTTCAAAATTGGGGCATTTTAAATTCCCACGATTTGGGATCGGTCCAATTACCAGATCAGGCAAAATGTAAAATGAGAGCAGACATCCGGGTTTAGGAAACAGGACCTGCTCTTTGTAACTGAAGACTTAGCAAAATAAGAATGCTAGGGACCCTCCCAAGTATCCAACACCCCGCCCCCCACACATACATATGCACAATGGGACTTTCAGGAATGAGACCGGAAGCTGGCTGGGCTTACTGGGGTCACCTATGGTCTGTGAGCTGATCTGTTCCCAGGTAACTGGCCTGTGTCCTTGGTCCTATTTAGCAGCTTGTTCCCACTAGCAAGCTCGCTGGCCCAGATCACCTGAGCTTATAGTGGAAACTCAAAGTGCTTTATAAATGCTATTCCACAATCCTTCTGGGATTTATTACATTTTGGTTATATTTATGCATGAGTGAGCGCCCCTAGAAGATTTTAAACTTCTTAATGTAGGGTCTTTCTTATTCTACTGACACTTTTTCAGACCATCCAGAACAGCCTATCACATCACAGATATAGATCCAGATACAGACAGAGATATTGAATGCAAACATGAATTCCACCTGGGAGATATTACACAGGGGCTGTGACACAAGGTTTAAAATGCTTTTTCCCGTAGTTCCTGTTAAAGTCAGGGGACATGATTATGGGCTCCACCCGCAATTGGGTGATGTTGCTGACCACATTCTTTTTTTTTTTTTTTAATTTTTTTTAAAGATTTGATGTATTTATTTGACAGAGAGAGACACAGTGAGCAAGAGAGGGAACACAAGCAGGGGTAGTGGGAGAGGGAGAAGCAGGCTCCCCGCTGAGCTGGGAGCCCGATGCAGGGCTCCATCCAGGACCCTGGGATCATGACCTGAGCTGTAGGCAGACGCTGAGCTACTCAGGCGCCCAGTTGACCACATTCTTAGGTGCAGGTTTGGTAAAGTCCTCTTCATCCTCGTATGAAATAACTTTAATCCCCAGTCACAACATCTCAGTTGAGGGATGGGACAGAACCTCAGCACCACACCCCCCAATAAGAGACAAATGCATATATTTAATATATTTACCCATCCTGAGGTCATAGCACCTGCTCATAGGTGCCAAGGATGCCCTTACTTTGGTTTTCTAACCCCTGACCTCCAAGTTCCTAGTACAGGGGCACCTGACTCCACAAAGGTGCTCAATACACAAAGGCTAAATAGCTAAAGAAGTGATTGGATTATATCTACAAGGTTGGGCTTTATCTCTGACTGCCAAATTATATGAATCTGTGAATGTCACCTGGGGTTCAAGTTGGGCCTCTCCCCAAAAGTCATGCACTTAAGTATTATTCATCAACATCTGCTCTAATGTGCATAGCATGTGGGGCTCTGTGCACAGTGCTGAGAGGGCAAACATGGGCAGCCCAGCCCCTGCCCTCTCAACACAAACACCCCTAAAGTGCCACAGAGGCCATAGTAAGTGTCATGAGCAGGCAGGAAAGAAGCACAGAGCGGGACAGGCTCAGCGTGGCCTGGGGAGGTCAGGGAGGGCTCCTGAGGAGGACAGGAGGTCTCACAAGAGGAGGGAGACTTCAGCAGGGGAAGAGCAAAAGGAAAGGCATTTCGGGGCTGGTGTAGTAAGGAGCGGAGAACTGCAGGTATTTTGCCTTAAGCAGAGTGCAGATGGCAGACTGCAGGTGGTCACAGCACTTGGAGAGGCCAATGCATCTGTCCCTGTCCCAAAGGGCCTGAGGTCAGCGATGGTGAGAGGGAGGAGGAGAGATCTGACGCTAGAGGAACTTGGGAGGCAGAACTGATAAGGCGTTAGTGACCCACTGGATGTAGACATGGTGCATGGTATGGCGTGTGTGGTGTGCTGAGGGACTGAAGGCATGCCAGGCGCCCAGGGCTCCAGGTTTCCCACTTGTGTCACTGGGTGGATTGTCTGAGCGCCGTGGTTGAATGTCACTAACTGAGATGGAGAACATAGAAGAGAAGCAAGTTTGGGAGAAGAAAATGATGAGTCCAATTCTGAACCTATGGACTCTGAATACCCATGGAGCACTCAAGGGTCATGTCAGGAAGTTACATCTGAGACACTGAAGCTCAGACCTGAGAAAGGATGGAAATAGAGACTGAAGAGCCATCGAGGTGCAGGCAGGAGTTGTAGCCAGGCACCTAACTGTGATCCCTCGAATTCCCAAACACCTCAGATTCAGAGAGAGCCTGGGGCCCCGTGGATGTTTGAGCCCACCAGCAGCCTCATCACACTGGAAGAAAAGGCCAGGAGAGTTGGGCTGACCTGTCCCCACTCACACAGCTCGGAAGCAGCGCTGCCTCCAGGATCAGAATAGCACTGGAGTCTCACGCACCCCTGTCAAGACTATCTGCATTCGTGCGTCTGTGTCCTGGGCTGTTGGTCTCTCAACTCAAAAAGCCGCAGGTCCCATAGCAGGAACAAAAGAAGATGAGCTGGGGAGATGGAACTGGGGGAGGGAGATAGGAGTCAATTCCTAGTTAAGCTGGAATAAAAGAAGCCCAAGTCATCAGCTTCAGCTGTCTTCATGACATGTTCGCCCCAACCTGCTTTCCAATCTCCTCTCCCACTTAGCTACTGACCATCCCCTCTTGCCTCTGCCCCCGTGTGATACAAACAGCATGCAGTCAGTTTCTTCTGCCCTGGAGGCTGAACAAGTCCAGAGCAGGTGCTTGAATAGTATCACAGGGAGCTATGCCTGTATTCTGGCCATGTGCTAAACACTTTATTCTCCTAAAATGACTTAATCTGCCTGCTTAGCGGGGAGCCTGCTTCCCCCCTCCCCCACTTGTGCCCTCTCTCTCTCTCTCTCTCTCGCTCACTCTCACATAAATAAAATCTTTAAAAATAAATAAATAGGGTGCCTGGGTGGCTCAGTCGTTAAGCATCTGCCTTTGGCTCAGGTCATGATCCCAGGGTCCTGGGATAGAGCCCCGCATCGGGCTCCCTGCTTGGCTCCCTGCTCTCCCTCTCCCACTCCCCCTGCTTGTGTTCGCTCTCTCGCTGTGTCTCTCTCTGTCAAATAAATAAATAAAATCTTTTAAAAAATAAATAGGGGCGCCTGGGTGGCTCAGTTGTTAAGTGTCTGCCTTCGGCTCAGGTCCCGATCCCGAGGTCCTGGGATCGAGCCCCGCATCAGGCTCCCTGCTCGGCGGGAAGCCTGCTTCTCCCTCTCCCACTCCCCCTGCTTGTGTTCCTTCTCTCCCTGTGTCTCTCTGTCAAATAAATAAATAAAATCTTTAAAAATAAATAAATAAATTAATTAATTAATTAAATAAAATGACTTAATCCTCATACAACCTGGAGAGGGAAATGTATTACCATCACCCCATTTTGCAGATGAGAAATCAAAACTTTTATTTCCCTGGCATCCACCTGAAGGCAGATGGAGCTCTGTTACGTGGCCTTCCTCTCTGGGTATTGACCTGCATGTGTCTAATTTTCCTGGTGAGCTCGGAGCTCCTTGAGGAAAGAGCTGTGTCCTTGGGACCCGTGGCACCCTTGGCAGCCTCCAGCTGTGCATCTTGTACCCTCCCCTCCTTCCTCTCCTGT